AAGGACCTTGCATTTCAAGTGTAAATTTGGATTGTTTCGTAGGTGACAGGTATTGTAATGGTAAGGATATGAATTCCAGTATTCGATTGAATTGTGTCACAATTTGGGCTCTACCACTTATGTGTTTTCAAAGACTAGATAAATGATCATGCAGACAGAGCACTTAAAACAGCGTCTGGTTTATCTAAGTATCCAATACATGTTGGATGCTTTCATAGGTAACCATGACAGAGGATGAATTTTAAAAGACAGAGCATATCATTAGCTTTCATTTTTACTTATTTAAATTGATTTTTAGAAAAATGACCATGGTGGCTTGATATGGGACAAAAACTTTAGTAATAGTGGTATTATCTAAAATTAATGAATGTCTGTTGAGTGTTAGGGAGTATGCTGAGTTTTGTAATTGCATGGTCTCATTTAATTTTTGCAGCATTACCATGAGAGAAGTGTTATATCCCTTTCTTTTACAGAAAATCAAATTAAAGGGTTGAACTGATCACACTCTGGCTAGTGCCTGAACCAGATTTTAAAGTCCCTTTAATTTCACAGTTCTCATGTAATTGCTCTAAAACTTAAATTGTTTGATATTCTTGAACTTCATTTTTCTCATATATACCATGGAAATGAAGAATAGTTTCCTTATATGTTTGTGGGAGAACTTAATGCATAAATATATAAAGGAACTTAATACATATAGTGTCTAATACATAGCAATTATAGTAATAATGGCATTCATTATAATCATTATTAGCCTTAGGATTTTAGATTTCTAAATATAAATTAGAATGCTAATTTGAAGTTTGCTTTGGCGAAGAGGTAAGTGAATACTACTGCAAAAGTTACTAATCTATTGCTAACAACTAGCTCTCCTCTACTATAATAGAAGGCAGAATCTCTTTCTTTTTTTAGACCCTGATTTTTATATAACTGTGTGCCTATCTTTTCTGAAGACTCAAATCAGATTTGTTACTATTTACTTTTAATTACTCTTCGGTTTTTTTTTTTTTTTCAGTTTTTTTAATTAGTACACGTTTGCAATGTATAATTATTACTGGTCTAAACTACAGTTTATGATATAAAAAGTTAATTTGAGGCATGTATTGTCCTGTGGGAGAGGAGTTTCATATTAATTGCAGTTATTAGTTTTCTGACTTTGTTCTCTCATGCACTGCCGACCCTAATCATATCTTATTCATTTATCTACAAAGTCTTTTTTTGGCTCATGGTAGGAGCTCAGTAAAAAGCTGTATGTGAAAGAAGAAATAAAGAATGAAAGGCAAAACAATTTTAGCATAGACATCATCTTCTGGGGCTACCTTTCAAGCTGAGATCCTATCAGTTTAATAAATTCTATTATAACATCCCTGTTACTAAATTTTCTAAAGCTTCATTAAACATTTTCACCCACTATAATTAGATACGGCATATACTTGCTTAAAGTCAGTTATGCAACTGATTGAAATTAACATTTCACAGACTGATATGAAATAGTAGCAATAAAATTTTTTTGATTCATAATAAAAATAACCTCTTATCACCCTCCTTTTTTCTAGTACTCATAAGGATCTACTGATCTATCAATTTTTTTTTGAATGAAGAAACCCTTTCTCCAAGAGAGACTGGGAGGTGCAGAATGTGTAAGGATTTTCTTTGTGGAGCACAACACGAGCATCAGAGTGCACTCCCATGGCACACCCCTACTGAGGCCAGAGATAGTAATATTCAGTACTGAGGTTGTCCTCGTTCCCGAGGGTGGAGCTCCTTGGTATGAATTGATGTGGTAACAGAATTTAAATAATTTCAAATTCTTTCAGCACTTCCCTATCTAGGGCTGTCTTTCAATTTTTCTGCAATCCGTTAGATTCACCCCCAAAAAACACTCTGGATTGTCCACTTTGAACATACAAAGAATAACATGTTATACTATATTCAGACAGAAAAAAAGATTTTTCTTCTAATGGGAAAACTCTAACATACTATTTTAGGAAGCTAGAGTGTTGTAAGTACATAAAAAGTTCTCATTCCTGTCCCAATGAGCGGGTACGGTGAGGAGGGCAGAAATGAGAGAGCATGTGGTAAGGCCCTGACAATGCTAAAGAAGAACTAATAGTCCACAACTTTTCTTCTCTCTTACGGCTCCTGGCTTTAGGAGAATTGTCCCATACCATTGTGGAATCCCGTCCATTCTATAGTTTCATCATAGGAAACTTAGGTACATGAGATGGGGAACAATTCTTGTTTTTCTGACTGGGTGTTCAGTAAAGGCCACAGAACCAGCCCAGATCTTTGCAGAGTAAATGTAAGGCTTCACTAGGGAAGCCAGCTGGGGAAGCTGTGGGGGTGGATTACAAAGAAAGCCTTACTAGTTGATACTAAAAGTGCCAGCAGTCACCTCATATACAGTATTTTCCCCAGCCTTTCAATCCTAGAGTAAGAAAATTGCGATTAACTACTATAGTCCTTTACCTAGAAACTGTTTTTAAGGAAGTCATCTCCTTGACATCCTCCTTTGAACCTTATTACTCCCGGATAAATGTTATTATATAGGTATATTTATGTGACTGAATAAGTTGGAGAGCATAACAGATACAAAGGTCTTCTTAATGTTGCCCCTTTTTCTGTACATCTGCAGAGTTTTTCTGTTCCCTGAAGGAAAGCTTTATTAGAGCAGTGAAGGACTCCTCACAACTCCCCCCATCTGATATTTAGTGCTAAAGAAATGAGAAGGAAAATAAATTAGAAAGGATCATTTGTTCGCAATTAGCTCTGCCTATCTGTGGGGCTGAGGCCATTACTTGCAGAAAATGTCTTTTTCCCCGCTTCCCCAGCAGGACGTATCATTGTCATAAGACTTGACATAACCTTGTCTATGTCCAAACAAATAAGGAAAAAAAGCTACATGGAATTTTGCTGCTGTAGAAAAGCTTGGACCATTCCTGGAGAAAATATATTGAATTAGCATCCTCTTTAGATCTGGGTCTGACCCAAGGAAGCTTGCTGTGTTTGATTTAGTGTCTGTTTACGCCCTGTTTGTGCTCCCCACCCCCATTCTCAGTCAAGGCAGCACCGAGCAAACGTCGTGTCTGAACTACCAAGATCTGAGAGTGCTGAGCACGGACTGAGCATTCCTGTGAGCACTGCACGGCGTGACTGAGATGTAATGCTTACCAAAGACAGATCCGTGTCATTTCTATATGAATGGACTGTTCTGACACACCTGTTTACAGACTTACTAAATCAGATGAGCTTGGGCATGTTCAGGGTAGTATGGCCGTAGACAACAGACTCGCTAAATTAGAATGATATAGGAAACTTACTATAGAGCAGATTTCTAGCTTCTGTCACTCATAGTTTTCCCAGTATGTTTGGTAGGTGGCCACAAGTGCTGGGGTTTTAGATTTCAAACCAGAAGTTCCCTGGGATGTATCTCTGCACCCTCACTTAGTGCACTCACTTTTGCCTGACCTGCCATGGGGCAGTGATGTATGCCTAACTGCGAGGACAGAAAGTAGGCCAGTTTGGAACATAAGCAACAAGAAACGAGAAGCCCCAATAGCGCTCTGCTGAGTTACTCCAACAGGATCATCAAGTGAGGCCCACCTTCCAGGAACACTCAGATCCAAAGAACTATACAAAGAGATTGTGAACAGAAGCTAACAGTAAATACTGTGCTTGTGTACATACTCTCATGGCCTTGTCTCTGGGAGCCATGGACAGAATGGGCCAGCCTTTTGGCCACAACTAGTATTAATCATTGCTTAGGCTGTGCACCCATAATTCTGGGAACCATTTCACAGACTACCATGTGAATTGCCTCAAACAGTTGTGCAATGCAGTGGTGCTTGAAAACAGTGTTTCATTATTTTGAAAAGAAGAAGGAGCCCACCACTGAGGAAGCAAACACAGTGTTTTGGGATGAAACTTTAACAGAATTCAATGACATCATCTTCTTGTTATGCAGTCGGGTCTCAAGCTGCACTGTCAGCACATGCAAACACATAATGACACACTCTACTTCCTGGTCCTCTCCCTGTCGCTCATCCAGGCTGATATGCATCAGTTTTCCCTGCACCTCTGTACCACAGGTGGGTTGAGAACTACCACAACAAATGAGAAGTGAAGAGGTAGTTCATGGTGAGTGATTCCTCAATTTAAGGCTTCTCTAGCGTTCTGCAGCTGTTTAATGACAATCCTGATTGCCTTTATCTCCAGAGCCCTTTTGCTGAAACCAAGTCCCATGCAAATAAGCACGTTCATTTCATGCAGCACAGCTCAGTTAATGCTTGTAGTTCTAAACACCCCAGCTTACTGAGAACAGCTCTGTTGGAAATGCCTAGTACAAAAGAACATGCATAGCGCAGCAACAGGGAGTACTCATCAACAACAGGGGCAAGTAAAGGAGCTGCAAAGGTACAGTAGCTAAAGGAGGATGAGCTTTCCTGATTTCAGTTCAAGAAAAGTCTCTTGCCTCTACAGTTCATCGGTTTGGCATGGCGTTTGCTATTGGCTGTGAAATGTTGTTACATTCAAAGTAAATCAGATTAATTTCCAAGCTTGTCTGGCATTAGGGTCAGGAGTGTCCCCTCAATTGTGATCTTTCCCTCAAACCAGTCCTAAGCTTTTGCATTGGTTTTATTAAGTGATTGCATAGCCCTGAAATGTGAATTTCCTCCGATCTCTTTCACTTTGCAAACTCCAAAACCATCAGACCAATAAGTAAAAACTCAAGGGGGACTGACTGTTAGCTACGGCTTCAGACATGCAAAGCACACAACCCTGAGAGACAGCAGCATCTGGGACAGGAGGCTCCCTTTACTTCACATGAGGATGGCATGGGCTTTACAAATCAAACCCACACAGAAAAACAGATGTGGCCCAGATTGGTTACACAGTATGGGACTCATAGTGGAGCGAGGACCCAGACCAGGGAGCCACCTGTTCCTCTAGCTTGCATACATTTATGTCACACCACCTCAAGCTACTCACAGTTTGCTTACCTGCTCATGGTTGCTCTCCCACCATTCCCCATACTCCCTTTGGGGGTGAAACACTCTATTTCCGACTTGTGCTGGGCCAGCCTCCTGTCTTTATACCTGGTGAGCATGAACAAGGACAGGAGCAAACAGAAAGGCATGATTGTGTGCTGTAACTGCCAGGCTGAGGAGGAGCCATGATCACAGAGAGGGTCACCTCATGCCAGAACAGGTATTCTTGCTTCTCAGTGCATTGGCTGACCTGTGATACTGATTTGGTATTTGTGATGGCATATAGAAAACAATTGAGCATGACTTTAATACTTCTGAATGAAACCACATGTAATTTATCCCTTTTTTTAATCCTGATTAATCTGTGAATTCATCATGTCTAATAGTCAATTCTAAAAGGATGCAAATCCTAGCATGTAAAAAAAAGATTATATTAATCATTAATTACAAACAATTTAGTGCTTACCACATATCATACACTGTTCTACAACTTTACTTAAATTTAATGCTGTCAACAGACCTGTAGTAGAGGCTTTGCTGTTATTACTTCCATATAACTGATGAAGTAAAGGTTAAATAAATTGATTAAAGGCAAACAAAAGTTGTTGGGCTGATCTTTCAAAATAAAGTCAACGTTTATAATTTATACTTTAGTCATTATAATGCGTTGCTTTTCATTATCTGTGTTTTCAAAAGCTAAATCTTATCACAATCAATCTTCACTGAGTGTTACTATGTCTGAATATTATATTAGACACTTGCATTACCAAAAGAGAGAAGATACATTACTTGGATATGAGAGGTTCCTGTAACTATGAAATTAAAGTTGACAGTAAATATTGGGTTGCTTACATCTTGTAATGTGATCCAATAGCTTTTGTATTAGAATTAGCAGTTTGCCTCTCCCACAGAGTACTAAGTATTTAATCTAAAATGAACAGGCCAGCCAAGTGGCACATGTCTGTAATCCCAGTACTCTGAGAGGCCGAGGCAGCATGATCACAAGTTTGGCCTAGCCTAGACATCTTAGTAACACCCTGTCTCCAAACTGAAAATAAAAAAGGGCTGGAAATGTATCTCAGTGTAAAGGCTCTAGGTTCAATCCCCAAGAAAGAAAGAAAGAAAGAAAGAAAGAAAGAAAGAAAAAGAAAGAAAGAGAAAAAGAAAGGAAGGAAGGAAGAAAGGAAGGTTGAGTGACCCCTAATATTATTTTCCGACAAGGTACAAGTCCTTATGTGTCAATGACAGGTTTTTCTTTGATTATATGCTTTTGCAGAATAATCTTTTTTACTTGTCAGTTTCAATCTGCTGGGTAGCTAGAAAACCACTATTCTTCCCCTTTAAGAAACAGACTGACTTCATCAAAGTCACAAGCCTCGTTAGTAGAAAACAACTTTGCACAGAGCATTCAAGGACCCATGACTGAGGTCTTATTACCTTTTCCCCATAAACCGGAGCCTGATACGATTCCAGTTCCTCTATGTTCCTAGTATTCAATAGACAGTGATAGAATGAGTTACTGTCATAAAACTTGGAATGTAGTCATTTTTTACTTCATTTTTATGGTGTTTCAAAAGTAAAATAAAACAATGTAACAAAATTAAATAATCATAGGTCCTGGTGTGGAAGGCTTCTTATTTTTTCTCTTTTCTAAAATATTCAAAGTAGTATTTGAATGAAAATGAATCATTAAATCAAACCCAAATGTATATAATGGATACACATATAGTGGAAGTTAACTGAGCACCTAATACATTCTAAAAAATTTGCTTTATTCTTGGCTGTAGAGATAGCGCTCCACAAATAGTGAGAGGAAAGGATAAGAAACATGCTCCCATGTAACCTTAGAACTAGACCATAAAGAATAAAAGAGGGCCAGGGATATAGCTCAGCAGCATAAGCCCTGCCTGGCAAGTGCAAGGTCCTGAGTTCGATTCTCGGTACAAAAAAAAAAAAAAAAAAATAGAAAAAACTTGGAAGACTTTGTTAAAATTACTAAAGCATCAGACCAAACCAGGTCAAGAAGGCTTCATTTTACCAAATAAAATACCTTAGAAAAGAATCCCTTGTGAAGAACCAGTGTGAATGACTACTCAGGTCTATCCAAACATTTTTTGCTTATTCATAAATTGTATTGCACAAAATACTACTCTACAACCTAAATGAAAATAATATTGCTCAAATAACAAATTACTGGTGGTCAATAAACTTCTTTAAAAGGATAATGTATTTAGAGTGTTTTCTACTAGTCTAATTGTTAAATGAATCAATTAAATCCTTCATAAATGACTTAAAAATACCGACACATTTCATGCACATAAGCTCCTCCCTCCCTTTCTCTCTCTAACACACACAGTGCCAGGTTATCTCCATTTATGAAATATGAAAAATATTTTAAACATCTTATTGTATCAAAAGTAAGAGTTCTCACCAAAACCCCAAAATAAACCTAAACAAAACCTTCCAAATAAACAGATTGAGTTCAAGTTTCTGTTAGCTGATTATTCTCGCAAACTGTAGACTTCTATATTTGTGGTCAATTCAGCTTTGACAATTTGAGTTTATAGGTCAGAACCTTGTCATGAAAGACTCTCACAAAAGTTTTACGAGATTTCAGAATGATTTGTTCTGGAAGAAGTTTTGGTTGTTTTCCGTGAAGATTTTTTTTGTTCTTTTTACTGCGTTCAGAAAGCCCTAGCTTCTCTTCGCTAGGTGTATGGGCCCGGATTTACATGGTGGGACTGGATAGTAAATATCTCTCCACAGTGCCTGAGTTCAGAGGTTTCATTTCTTCGTTTCACCCTCACTGCGAATACCCAGTGAATGTTGGCTTGTTGAGAGGTTTATGTGAGCTTTATGATCCAGAAGGAATATATGAGTGTAGAATGAGGTAAAAGAGTAGAATAAAATGGAGATATTTATGGAATGAATATTAGGTGAAATATCGGGTGTTGGCAGTGATGCCTGAGCTGGAAGGAAAAGAGTGACAGTTTGATATTGGAAGTTAATGTTTCCTATGTGAGAGAGACTTGAGGCGGTAAGTCTGAGTAAATCGCCAAAAGTAAGATGGTAGCGCACATGGCAACTCAGGCACTAGAACTAGGGGGAAAGACGCCATGTGACGGTTTGTTCTCTGTATGGGCATTAAAGCTTCTCAGCATAATAGCAGAACTTGGGCTGACAGAAATTGCTCATTCAAGAGTAGTACTTATAAACAAAGTTGAAAGGGAGTGAAAAAACGAGGCCATAAATTCCAAAAAGTCCGAGTTTTAGTATGAGGATGTAGAAACAGATGGCCCCTCTCCCGTGTCCTGTGAAACACGTGATGCGGAAGGACAGCGACCTCACCTGGAAGCGACGTGGGGGCAGGGTGTCCATTTGTCACTGAATCCTGTACTCACGATGCTGGTTCAAGCCAGCATCATCTTTTAAAGTTGTGAGAGATTTTTAAATAGATTCTGCTTTTGTCTTTATTCATTTTTCTGCATCCAGCCCAACCCAACCCAATCCAAGCTCCACACCGCACGCAGAATAATCTTGTGGAAATACAATCCATCGCATATCACCCCCTTTCTACTTAAAGCTCTCAATTAATTATCCCTCTCTCTGAGTAAATTCTAAATTTTTTACTGTACAGGAAAACAGTGACTCCTCCTCCTTTTCTCCTTTTCCTTTGTCTCCCGCTCTTTCCCTTCTCTCCCTCTCCTCTTCCTCCTTCTCTTCCTTTCCCTTCTCTCCCTCTTCTCCTCCTCCCTTCCCTTCCCTTCCCTTCTCTCCCTCTCCTCCTTTTCCTCCTCCTCAAAGAGCGGTCTAGCTTCTCCCCTCTCTTATTACCTCTCTGGTGCCATACTTCTTCTCTCCCTTGCCCACGCTGATCGTGCTGCTGGAGGATGCCAGGCCTCCTATTACCATAGAGTCCTTGCTATACTCAGATATCAGGTATCCCTCTTTCAAATTTGCTTTCAGATATCCCTTTCTTAATGCTTTCTGCCGTGACCACCCATAGTCAAAAAGACAGTCTTCATCCCCTCTTCCTGCTATAGTATTCTGATTTTTCAGAAATATTTATCCAAAAAAAAAAGAAAAAGAAATATTTATCCAACACAACTTATATTTTACTTATTTATTTTATGTACTGTCTGCTTTCCCCATTGAAATCTCCTATGGAATATAAACTCTCTGAAGCTATAAATTTAGAATTATTTTACATAGTACTATCTTCCCAGTGCCTATGACATGGCCAAGCTTATTACAGATGATAATATTTGTTGAATGAAGGTGTGCATGGGTGGATGAATACAAAGAGAATCAAGTTATGGGGAAATTTTCATTTAAAAAGGAAGGAATATTAGCAAGCTTATATTCAGTGATCTTAGACCTTTGAATAAAGTTAGAGTAATAATGAAAGTAAAATGGCTGATAGTTGAGTTTTGTGAAAGTGAGTGAAAAAGTTAAGTAACCAATGGAGACAGTTCTGTGGTCTAGGTATTTAATACCAAAAATTCATATGTTGAAGTCCTAATCCTTAAAGTAATCATATTAGGAGGTTGGACCTTTGGGATATGATGGCAGCACCCTCATCAATGGGATTCATACTTTCAAAACAGAGGCCTCAGGGAGTTTCCATGCTTCTTCCACCAGGTGATGACATAGCAAAACAACAACAAAAAAACCCAAAAAACAAACAAACAAAAACACCATCTATGAACATTTAAGGGACCTTAGCCAGATACTGAAGTGCCAATTCCTTGACTGTGGGTTTCTCAGCCCTCAGAACGGTGAAAAGTAACTGCTCGTTGTTCATGAGCCACGCATTTTTGGGGAGCATTCTAGCAACCTGCACAAACTAAAAGGACGGAGCTTGTAAAGTCATCAGGAAAGTAGGAAAAAGGATGGGCAAGAAGTGAAACTCTGAAGTCTGGAAGCTCATACAGAAGGTAGCATTTCTTTCCTTTAGGGAAATCTTACTTTTAGATACTGGCAGTCATAAAGTGATGAGAGGAGCTGTGATATCATATATTTAAATAACACTTAAGTATTATGAAAAAAATCTTTCCTTACCATTTAATTCCTTCAAGAAACTCAGTAGGACAACTGGTATCCTCACC